AAAATCTCTTGGATTCTGTATTTCTGCTCCAACTCATCTGACGAAGTGGGTTTCACCCACGAAATCTCATGATCCTGTATCTTTAGTCTGTAAGGTGCCACAGGACTTGCTCGTTGTATCTGTGTGTCTGGCATATGCAGATTTGGGGGACTTGTCAGAGCCCTTCACCTGCATTCCTCAAACATTGTCTGTCTGTCTGCCTTTAAAAGAAATATACTACAGAGGGAGGTGTCCTCCCTGCAAGCAGGGAGAAATAAATTTGTACTCTGTTTTTGTAGTCCTTTTGTTGTTGAAACTTGTGCAAAAAGGGGAATTATCTCTGGTGCACCTAGAGCTTTTATTTGGGCTTCCTGCCTTGTTTCTGCTTGGTGAGAAGGAAGCTATGGACTTGTTGAAGCTAGAGGCTTGATGCAGGAATTTCTGGGTAGAATTCTGTGGCCCGTGTGTGCAGGTCAGGCTAGATCAAGGGTTTTCGAAGTTGGGTTGTGGACCCAGCTGGGTAAGCCGCTGACAGGCCATGAGATCCTTTGTTTATTCATTGGCTATGGTTCACCATTTCCAGCCAAGGAGAGCTGCAAGGTGCCATGCCTTTTGGTGCTTAGCTAAACAAAACATTTTGCAGCCTGCCGGCAGTTTACCAAAGGGGCCCGTCACCCAACTTGGAAAACCTCTGGGCTAGATGGTCCCAATGATCCTTTTTGCCGTTAATCAATGAATCTAACTTGTAATGATCTGAGTTTCTCCGTTAACTTCCAGTGTTGGGGTGGCTAACAGGTTTCTGTTGGTTGTCTGTGTTTTTGTGAGCTGGTTATGGAGAAATAAAATCATTTCTTTCCCAGCTTGGAAGCAGTTTTAACTTTTGATCAGACTCTTGTCTCATGCTGCATACAGAGTCGCACCATAACACTAGCTTGGGGATTACTCTGCCATTCCTGACACACCAACGGGGCTCATGGGTAGGGGCACAAATAACAGCAATGGCAGCGTCCCAATACAGACTCTTAGGGTATCAGCAGTTGGCCTATAAGAATGGAGGGTTCAAATCCCACTCGAAACAAACCGCTTTGTTTTTAAAGCAGTAGTAATTGGCAGAGTTCAGGTGTTTATATCCTTCTGAAACTGGTGCTAACTTGCAACTTATCTCCCTTCCTCTAAGGAAATGACTTGCATGGGGTAGGGAGCCAGAGAAGTGGGGAATAAATGTAAAGGGCAGCTGTCATGCAGTTCAGGGAAAAGTGAACAGATCCACAGCTGGACATGATGGGGGAGCGTTGAATGGTCAAAATTGAAGGCTTATGAGTTATAAAATGTTGTGGTTGGAATGTTAGTTGGGAGTGGCATAGGTGCTAGTATCTCAAAGCCAAACCCTTTATGTTGCTCTTGAGGTAATTCCTACAGCATAACAGGAAAACATTAGAACTAATTACACTACGTTTTATAGAATGTCAGACACAATAAACCCAGAAGTCAAATGGTTAGTTTAAACCAGATATTAGTACATCCCAATATAAACCTGTAGATGTTACCAAATTTCTTACACATCTTTATTACACAGAAACATTGTGCAATTTCACAGTGCAATAGTGTGTTCCATATCCTATTTATGCAAGGGTTACAAATCATGAATGACAAAGCCAATCTTAAATCTAAAGATTTGGAAATATGTAAAGTAAATTAAAGACAACTAGGGGGGAAAAAAGCACTATCCTAGATTTTAAATAAGCAGCAACTCCAGCATTCCAGCTGAGACTGGAAATAATTTGATTACACCTAGACAACAACAACTGAAAGGACTCTACAGTACTCACCTGATCTTCCTCTTCATCCTCTTCATCTTCTGCCAAACGCTGCCTGCCTACCTCATAGAGCCTGCAAACTGTATCCATGTTCATGGCATCCATGCTGCCTTGATTCTGAAAAAGAAAGCATTGCCAATTCCACTAGATACTAAGTGCTGTTTTGGGGGTTTTCTTTCTTTAACACGATCTCCATTACAGAAGAGAGGTGACAACCAAGAACAAACAACAAAAAGGCATGCTATCTTTAATTTGATATACAGGCAGTCCCCGGGTTACGTACAAGATAGGGATTGTAGGTTTGTTCTTAAGTTGAATCTGTATGTAAGTCGGAACTGGCATCCAGATTCAGCTGCTGCTGAAACTGATCAGTTTCAACAGTGGCTGAATCTGGACGCCAGTTCTGACTTACATACAGATTCAACTTAAGAACAAACCTACAATCCCTATCTTGTACGTAACCCGGGGACTGCCTGTATATCAAATTAAAGATAGCATGCCTTTTTGTTGTTTGTTCTTGGTTGTCACCTCTCTTCTGTAATGGAGATCGTGTTAAAGAAAGAAAACCCCCAAAACAGCACTTAGTATCTAGTGGAATTGGCAATGCTTTCTTTTTCAGAATCAAGGCAGCATGGATGCCATGAACATGGATACAGTTTGCAGGCTCTATGAGGTAGGCAGGCAGCGTTTGGCAGAAGATGAAGAGGATGAAGAGGAAGATCAGGTGAGTACTGTAGAGTCCTTTCAGTTGTTGTTGTCTAGGTGTAATCAAATTATTTCCAGTCTCAGCTGGAATGCTGGAGTTGCTGCTTATTTAAAATCTAGGATAGTGCTTTTTTCCCCCCTAGTTGTCTTTAATTTACTTTACATATTTCCAAATCTTTAGATTTAAGATTGGCTTTGTCATTCATGATTTGTAACCCTTGCATAAATAGGATATGGAACACACTATTGCACTGTGAAATTGCACAATGTTTCTGTGTAATAAAGATGTGTAAGAAATTTGGTAACATCTACAGGTTTATATTGGGATGTACTAATATCTGGTTTAAACTAACCATTTGACTTCTGGGTTTATTGTGTCTGACATTCTATAAAAGAGCTAAGAATTAGTATTACTCAGGATACAGTAGGTAATATGACTGTCTGCTTTGTTAGCACATTCTATAGTGGGTTTTCAGGAGATCTCTTGTTGGTGCCAGGCTTCATAGAAGAGCCAAACCCATTTTCCTTTGGACAAAGGAGAAGTGAAATGTATCCCAAAAGGTGTGGAATGGTTTGTCTTCTTTCTGGTGTTGGTATTGTGATACATTAATGTCTGCACCGTGGAAACATAGCTGACTTCTTTTTTCCCCTCTGTGTTGGTGTGGTGACTGGAGGTAAAAAGAAATTGATTTCTTCAGACTGCACAGAAAGCTAGAATTTTGGTGTTCATTCCACTTTCTTAATCTCCTGTTGCTAGAATAAAACTGCTTTACTAGTCTTCCAAGGAACGTTTGATGGTAGCATCCATGGAGGAGATTGTATTTTCAGTCCAATCAGTGGATTTATGTGCTGTAATAATATTAGTAGTACCTCACATCACCTGTGCCAGTTAGATTGGGGGAGAGCTTTTCTTTCTCATTCCTGACAACACATTGATTCAAATGTTGTGTTAAAGGGCACTCACCTGCTTCAGTTAGAGGAAGGAATTCTCTTCTGTTCTTGGTCACAACACTAAAGGGGATGGATCTGGTTTTATTATTAGGCAAATATCATTCTCTTTTCCTAAATACAGGAAAACACTAATCTCAGATACTAGTAAGTGATAATGGTTAGTTGGTAGTCATTGACTTTTCAGTGGGAAATGTGTTTTGTGTGGTGCTTTAAATGAACTTCTGTTTGTGTAGCTGGGTCTCAGGCACGGTTTAAGTGTACTGAAAAGCTATCCTAAAGCGTCAGAAGTAAAAAAGCAGAACTGCTTCTTCATTTGGTGCTGTGGTATTGATTGCAGAATAAGAGCACATGGTTAATGTATGCAGTTATTGCTCTTGATTCTTTGCCCCTGGACTTTGGAAAAGTGACTGCATTTTAACAATCAGTTTTTGAGGCTGTCAACATCAATCTTGGGTACAAGGGAAATTAGTTTTAATGTAAACTATATGAAAGCTACGCAAATACTAGTCATTGCATATTTAGCACAATTTAAACCAGAAACCTACATCCTTTTTTGTTGCTGGCTGGTTATTCTTCATTGTTTCCCTGTGTTTGGTTCAGGACATAGATTTACAAGTTTATGGACTAGCAAAACACAGCTTTATATCTTCGGAAAAACTGACTGTATTAAGCTAGGAGGAGCAGAGAACCCCAGACCTTTCCCCTCACTTGCACTCCCTACCCTACATCTTCCTTATTTCGGGTGTGGGTGTGGGTGTTAAAGCTGGTCAGAAAAGTAACCTGTATCCTACTATATATCTAATATGAGTTAAAAGTTTGGGGTGCTTGCACAGTTCTGCGTTGCATAAGCCTTGACAAATCAGAAAGGTGCTTCCAAATTTCTCGTTGTTAGGTTTTCTCACTGAGTTCCTGTGAAACCCTCCAAAACAGGTTTATTCAGATTTTTAGCTTGAAAATTGAGGCACAGTATCCTCCCTATATAAAACTTGCATCTCCTTCCATGAGTTCTGGTCATGAATCATTTATTCTTAATCTGATTCACTAACTGTTCTAAGTAATGCTTTGGTATTAGATTGGTTGCTGCTTTTAGATAGCTCAGGTGGTTTGTTTGCTCTGGTATCCTGGATCTTCACTTCCAGGTCTTTTGCTTTCACATCTCTTTCTTCTGTGAATGGTCTGCCAGCAAGTTTCTCAGCTCTTGATTTGCATCCCCTTAGTGCTGGGAGGGAAGGAATTGAAGTTGTGCTGCTCATTTTGGCAATGCAGGTACCTCCCTCGTCCGGCACCCTCAGGACAAGAAGGGTATTTGCTAAACAGAGAAGGGTCCCTCCCAACATGGTCCATGCTACCCCTGACTAGGATTCCAGCCAAGCCCTGCTGCTGCCTACCCGGCCCTGGCTCCCCAGGCTGGAGCTCTGTGGCTGCTGCAGCTTCTGGGGCTGCCGGGGCTCCGAGGCTTCTGATACTGCTGGGATTGAGGCTCTGCGACTGCTGGGATTCTGTGAGAGTTGCGGGCCCCCCCACTACAGCCTGGCAGCAAGGACCAGAACTCTCTGCTGTGGCCCCCTCCCTCAACACAGGGCTCCTGGCTGAATTGCACCCCACCTCTTTTACTCCTGCCCTGCGACCTGACTGCCTTATACCTAGACTCTGTGGTCCAGGAACATCCATAATCCTGCTGGACCACAGAATCCTGGTTAAGTGAGGTACAACCTATAGTATTTGCAGCAAGTTATCTGCAATAGAAGTGTTGCTGGGTGGGAACTATAAGACAGACCATACTGGGTCAGACAAAAGGTCCATCCACTGTCTCTCAAACAGAGGCTAAGGACAACCTCCCTGCCCAGCCTGCCCAGTAGCTTTTGATGGACCTATCTTGCATGAATTTATCTAGCTCTTGATTTAATCATATTACAGTCTTGGCCTTCTCAATGTCCTCTGGCAAGGAGTTCCATGGGTTTACTGTGCTAAGTGCTTCCTTTTGTTTGTTTTTAAATCTACTGCTTATTAATTTCATTTGCTGACTCCTAGTCCTTGTGTTATCTGAACAAGTAAATAACTTTTCTTTATTTACTTTATCCACACCAGTCATGATTTTATAGACCTCTTTCATATCCCCCCTTAGTCATCTCTTTTCCAAGCTGAAAAGTCCGAGTTGTATTAATCTCTCTTCATATAGATACCATCCCATAACCTTAATTGCTTTTTTGCTCTTTTCTAAACTTTTTTCCAATGCCAAGATATTTTTTTAAGATGAAGCAACCACATCTGCACTCAGTAGTGTGTATAGAGGCATGAACATGTTCTCTGTCTTATTCTCTGTCCCTTTCTTAATGATTTCCAACATTGTTTGCTTTTTTGACTGCTGCTGCACATTGAGTGGATGTTTTCAGAGAACTATCCACAGTGACCCCAAGATCTCGCTCTTGAGTGGTAACAGCTGATTTGGTCCCAGTCATTTTATATGTATAGTTAGGGTTATGTTTTCCAATGTGTGTTCCTTGGCATTTATCCACACTGAATTTCATCTGTCATTTTGTTGTCCTGTCAGCTAGTTTGATGAGATCCTTTTGAAGCTTTTTGCAGTCTCCTTTAGACTTAACTATCTTGAGCAGTTCTGTGTCATCTGCAAATTTTGCTAACTCATTGTTACCCCCTTTCTCCAGATCATCCGTATGGATTCTTGGGGGACACCACTAGTTACTTCTCTCCATTCTGAAAACTGAACATTTTTTCCTACTTTGTTTATTCTTACTCTGTTTCCTTTCTTGTAACCGGTTATCAATCCATGAGAGGACCTTCCCTCTTATCCAATGACCACTTACCCACGATAACTTTTTGCCTTCAGATTTTGACATCCCAGCATGCAAGTCATCTAATGGTTCTGTTTTAGATGTTTGAGTATAGAATGACATTGTGAAATCAGTAAAATGAAGCTGTTAGCAGTTTTTGCAAGTCTCCATGGGGCGAGGATGGTGGTTGGAGCTGGGGGCAGACCAGCAGCGTCTGGAGCCAGCACAAGCTGGGACCCTGGCAGCTAACCCTGCTACGTCTCTGCATTTTAAATTAAGAGCCCAGTGGGCTCTTACTACATTTAAAATGCAGACCCGTAGCAGGGCTAGTGAGCAGCCCCCATCGACTAATTGAGTAGTCGATATAAATTCCATTGATTACTTGTTTACATGAACTGCAACTTAACATCCATAGCGAGCACAATTAATTAGCTATCTTACACACAGTGCCACTGCTGTAAATCCTCGAGTGTCTTTGGTATAAAATATTTGAAGTTAATGCTGCGGCATCTGAAGAATTTCTACCTAGGCTTTTCATTTTAGACTTCATGTTAAACCTCTAGAAAACTTCCTTGTTTTAGCTGAGGCAAACTCTTTAGAATATCAAGCCTAATTAAGCAAAACGAAGGTGAATCTTTTGGTACTGTGCTGTTAAGATATGTTGCCTTATTACAGGCTTCTCCTCCCGATCTCCCCTGTCCAGCCCTGCTTCTGGCGGCCAGTTCCCCCCCGCTCCCCACTGAT